GTATGATGAAGGTGGTGTCTTCTTGGGAAAGGTTGTCAAGCAGTATTTCACTGATATCATAGGTGCAGTGTATGATGAGCTACTCTTATGCCTGCAGCACTAACTTGGGCCCTAACCCTGCAAACATTGAAGCACTTGCTTAACTTTATTACTATGAATAACTTCATACTCATAGTAGTAAAGTTAAGCACATGCATGTTTGCAAGGTTACAGCCTAAGGGCAGGCCTACACTACTGTTTAAGTTAATCTAACTTATGTCACTTATGTGAAAAGACATCCCCCTGAGCGATGCAACTTACAGCAACCTAAGTGCTGTCCACGCTGGTGCTATGTCAGCAGGAGATGCTGTCCCACCGACATAGCTTCCACCCCTTGCAGAGGTGGATTAATTATGCCAACAGGAGAGAGCTCTCCCATCGCACCGATGTAGCACTTCTAGTGTAGACATGCCCTAAGGTTGAAACTGATCACCTAGATAAAATCCCTGTACCTCCACCATGGGTAACTATGAGCCCCAAGCAAGGGAGATAGCCAACACAGCCAAACAACAAAAATTATTGAATAGGAGAGGACTCTTGGAAGAGAATATATTCTGCAATATTACAATGACCTATAGTATACACCAAAACATACACAAACTTTTCTGAAGAAAAGATAATCAAGTAATTGTGCCTTGAGCATCACAGTCACTTGATTTAAATCAATAGAAAGAATCTGGAGTCAATTAAAGAAAGCAGTAGCTAAAGCAGCACATTGTGGACATCTGGAAGGAGCTGTCATTCATTTGCAGAGACTTCGGGGTATAATAAAAGCTTTTAGCAGAAACAAAAAGCAGTGAACAGAATGACTGAGAAGAATTCACAATTTCTTTAAGAAACAAATTCTTAAAATGTGTGGCAGATACAGGGCCGGCTCTGGCTTTTTGGCCGCCCCAAGCACAAAAAAACCCCCAAAAAACGGGGCAGCCAGAACAGCAAAGGAGAAAAAAAACAACCAGCGTCGCAGCCAGAGCGCGGGTACGGGGACAGACTGGGGGGGGAGGGGGAAAAGGGAAGGGGGGGGGAGCGGGCGGGAGAGAGAGAGAAGGGGGCGGCCAGGGCTACAGCAGGGGCGCTGCCACGCGGCCCCTCCCGCTGCGCCGGCTCCTGCCGCCTGCCGCGAGGGCTCCGCTCCAGTCGGCGGGGAGGGAAGGAAGAGGACTGCCCTGCAGGGCGCTCTGGTTCTCCGCGCCGCCGCCCCCTACAGGGTGGCCAGAGCGGAACAAGAACAAAAAAAATAAATAAATAAATTAAAAAAAAAAAAGCGGCCGTGCCGCCCTAGGATTGGGCGGAATGCCGCCTCCAACAATCTGCTGCCCCAAGCACCAGCTTGCTCAGCTGGTGCCTGGAGCCAGCCCTGGACAGATAGGTGCTCAGTTACACATCTGCTTTAGAATTCCAGTTAAACTCCTAATTAAATAAGGTCAGTGCTTTTCAGTATATGTAAATTACAAGAAGAGAACAACATGTTACAGAGCATTAAATCTTAAGCCCTCATCCTGGAAAGACTTATGCTTATGCCTAACGTTATACCCTGTGAAAAGTCCCAAGTCCCAAAGCTGTCTTCATATGACTGAGAGGAAGAGATGGTGTCTACCTTCATATTTGTTAAACACCTTTAAAAATGGGGCCTCGTTACTGACTGGAGCCTTTAACATAAATATTAAATAAAAATAAAATATAGCAATTTTTTTTTATTCTTCATTTTTAGCCGAGGGTCTAAAATTTATTGTGCAAGTGAACATATATCTCAATCTTTATTCACTTACCCTTATAATCAATTTAAGTATTATTCCCCAATCACCATGACAGGAAGTTGAAAGGCTGAGCAAATCCAAAGAAATAGTAGACAAAATTCAAGGCTGATGTGAACAGGCCCAAATGCACAGATGTCAGTGGGAGTTCTATTCTATACAGGTAATTTATACTATATGAATCACAGTGATAGCTAAGATGTACCACTTAAAGTTATGCCAGAGCTTATGCTTGACCCAGTATCTGAAATACAGATTTCAAATGAAGGCATCAATGCTGCAAGCACTTATGTGTATAAGTAACTTTACATATGTAAGTAGTTTCATTGCTTACAATAAGATTGCTCAAAAGTATAAATATTTGCAGGATCAGGGAATAAGAATACATCATTGGGCTTCTATTCCTGTGCAGAAAGAATTTACTACTCATGTATGTTCTTGTTATCTATGTGTTAGCAACTCAAGTCTTGTGATAAACAAAATTATGCAGTCAAGCCAATTTTTTTTCGACCTTTTAGATGGTTCTTTTTGTCAAGCTTCTGGCGGCTAGGGGAAGAGCACCCTACAGAACATATTAATTTCCTCCCACATACTGTAGCTATTTTTTTAAAGATACTTTTGACATACATTCTACATATATAACAAAACCATAAACAAAGATGACTATGGAATATATAAAATTTTAAAAGGCAAATTTTAACCTGAATTCTGGTGACCCAGTATAGGGAATGCTTTTGAATTATTTATTTTAGTTTGGCAATATTATTAAACTTGTAAGGCAGACTGTAAAAAGGCCTATTTGATGCTATTGATGGAGTTTCTATTTATATTGGTGACTTTTTCCTGTTATACTTACCCTAGTGCAGCCCTTTTAATGGACACACAATATGTTACTCTGTGCCCAAGCTCACCTACTCTTTCTTTTCTCAAAAGACAAGGCACATCTGCCACCTGCTCTAGTCTGTGTCCCAGCAACAACTGTCGAGCAGTAAAAAGATTGATTATCAGTCAAAAACCATTGCACAACACCAGATTTTGGTAGGTTAAGCTTGCTGATCCAGCAAGGGATGGTGTGAAATTTTCAGTAATGTGTGCCAACATTTTGGTGCTAAAAGAACAGCAGTGCATGTCACAGTGAAACACTGCCAAAGATATGCAGACAAAGCATAGAAGTTTTTGTTTTGAATTTGGCTTGAGAGGGAGAGAGAGAGAGAGAGAGAGAATTGCTTAATGAATTTGAAAAACCACTCTTAACAACAAATCATGTGAATGGAAAACTATAATAAAAGTACCAATGCCCTGAAGATTTTATAACGAACTATAGCAATGGCTGTATAAAAATATTACAATAATATTAGCTTCATTTCAGTATCTCCTATGATATGAGACAAAATAGTATTTATTTAACATTGTTTAATGAAACAGTAAAACTCTTCTTATTAAATCTTAAAGTGTATTGGTGTGACTATGCAACACACGTAATAGAAAAAATACAGATTTGTCTCTCTCTTATTGTATGCATAGACTGTTAATTAAATAAATGGTAGTCAATGGATCGTAATCATATTCAGGGTGATTTTCATATTATCTGTAACACCCTATCATGTGTATAATTGATGATATAGCAGATAGGCATATCTTATCATAAATATAATTTGTGAAGTTTTTATGGAAGCAAGATGTGAATGTATTTATATGATATGGCTCAGTTGGTGGACTAAAATGTAAATACTTTAATCACTCATGAATAGCTCCATGAAAATAAAAATAAAAGGCATATTTATAGAACTTAAGTCATATGGGCAACTACTGGTCAATATTTTTATGTATTCATTGACATTTCTATAATACTCATCACTCTAGTATCTATTTATATAAGAGAATTACCACTTCTAGGTGAAACTAATATTATACTAAAGCAACAACTTTCTGTAAAAATTGCAAGCTACTGTTGTCCTGAAATTTTTCACTTAGCAGTAAATATATTTGTGCTAGAAACTGTTCTTTCAAGGTAACAAAAGTAATTTTAAAATTACTGGGGAAAATAAACCATCGGTGCTTTAAAAAAGAGAGAAAGAAAACATAATTATAACTACATAAGAAAAGGCTAAAAATGCTCATTAGTGCAAAGAAATGTAAAACATACACATTATTTAAATGCTTTTATAAAATTTATTTATTTATCCCAAGATCATTGTTTTACTTTTAGGCACCACAAGTATTTTTATGATCCAAAAAAAAAAAAATGCATTTCATTTTTGTCTCTTGTTGGAATGGTACACTGGTAACACAGGTTGATCCTTAACAAACATAAAATTTCCCAGTTAGTCATCTGGCTTTTTGTAATAATTCAGCTAGCTAATTTTTATTCTAACTAACATTGTAGCTTATCATAACTGCCAGCTGTTTCGATGATTTAATAGAAAGTATTTAGTAGGAGTATTGTGACTTTGATACAGAACACTATTTAAGTTAATTCTGTAAAACTTCATCAAAATTAATTGTACAAATCCCAGAATGTACTCCATCATCTTAAAATATGAATGAAAACAATATTTACATCCAAATTTCAAAAGTCAGTGAGTCAGAAACAGCTGTGTGTGTGTGTGTGTGTGTGTGTGTGTGTGTGTGTGTGTGTGTGTACAAATATCATTTGATGATTGTACTGAAAAAGGAATGAAATAGAGTGGGGAAGCTTTAATGTTTGTAATGAACAATTTTAAAATAATAAAACATTCACATCTGAATGATATGTACATGTGAGTGTAAATATTCCACCTTGTTGTATAAACATCCCAATAATTATTTTAATGATTTTTCATAAAGGTCAAATGACTAAATTAATAAATGCAATCTGAAATGCTGAACTATTTTCGTCCTAGTGTAATAAGCCTAATGAATTGTGTCTGTTAGGTGTCACTGAAACTAAAGAGTAAATTCAATAATCTCTGATTTAATTTATTATATTTTCACCATTTAACCTCCTGCAGGCTCCCTAATGTCTATTCAGATCTATATTAAATTAAGCACCAATGCTAATGAAGGGCAATAAACATGGCTGTCAGTAGATTTTTCTTTCATTAAGCACATTATCCTCTTACTGAGCTCTAAATGAGTAAACATTAGTTTTGTTAAACCATGCAAAAAGAGAGGATGAAAATCATTTTTAATTGCACCCCTGAAGCCATATACTATTTGTTTTTTTACCTTTAATTTTTTTGAATGGATCTAAAAAGGGCTCTCCAGTTGAAATATAAATGTCGGCATCATGGGGTATGTCTTTAGGTTCTAGTGCTTCTGTGCCGTCTGCCAAGAACACTCGTCGTGCAGCCATGTTCAGATTCAGTTTTTCAGTGCACTCCTCCAGCAGCTAAATGAAGGCAAGAGGTAAGGAATATTGATTACGACAGAAAAATATATTCACAACATGACCAACATTTAGTGAAAGAATCGGGACTAAAAATTAGAAATCCATGCTTAAGTGACTTACCAACCATAGTAACTGCACTATAAGTAACTTAGGTTTTTTGTAATCTTTGCTGGCAGTTAACTGATAACAGAATGATGAAAACACAGTGGATAACGTAACATTACAAAGAATTTTCAAAAATTATTATTTTTAGTCTCACAGTATTGTAATTGGTTATGAATGAACTCAACATTTTACACTCTGTAGCTCCTATTTACTTGAACAGTGTTTATATTGTAGTATGTGTTTATTATTCACTAATTTTATGTGTATTTTATATGTATATTATACATATGCTGGAAAGGAAGAATTTTAATATTAGCTCATTTTAAAATAAAAGGCAACTTCTTTCTTTACCTGATGGTATAAAATACAAACTATAAATAAAGTTAATGCATGTAAGAAAACTTTGTATTAGTATTTACCAGTTTAATGGATGGTACAGCAATTTTAGCAAAGATACTTCTTGTGCCATTCTTGTAAGCCGTTACTTTGATTACCCTTGGCTGACATTTAATAACTTGGGGCACTTCAGATTCTTTCTGGGCCAGCTGGAGTCTTGAGGAAGAGAACTGTGTACATCTGTTGCAAATAAAACCAATTTAGCTTCATCAGAGAAAAAGTTAATTTGTATTTTGTTGAAATCATCTATTTCTAAGGTCTTTTTATATACAATTACATAAAATTAATATTTCTAATATAAGCCCTTGATCACTCTTCACATTATAGATATTTAAATCAGAATACCTGAGTTTTTAATACACTATGTAAGGAAATTGAACTCCTTTAAATAAAATAGATTTAGAATGATATCCTTCTATAACATATTTAGTTTATTTTTGATATTTAGCATATTTTATTTGTAATACACCACATTCAGAGAGCACCATTATAACTCAAGTATGAAGTTGTTATACAGCATCTTCAGAGCCCTTTTTATTATGGCTTTTATAAGAAAAAAGATCTCAATCTTTAAAAATGAGTCTCCAATACCATCAGCATTTGACTAAATGTTGTAAATAATAAAATTGGTATTAGAAAAATTAACAATATTCTTATTAGTGTATTCAGTGCATAAGTAATTTTCTTTATAATTCAATATAACTTAATGATTTGCTCTTAGTTGAAAAATTAAGAGCTAATGCTGTAGCTTCATTCAGGCAAAATTCCCACAGACTTTGACAGCAATTCTAACTGTAGAATGGGGCCTTATGTCAATATTTCTGATCTTCAGAATGCAAAATATATTCAATGCCATTAGCAGAATAAAATGAAATGCACTAACATCCAATAAAGAAAAAATACCCTCAATACTATTTTTAAAAGGGTAATTCCACAAAAAAATAATCTATAGTGCTATTGTACTGTAAGGCTTTTCTTAGAAAACAAAGAATTTCTATTGCATAAGTATAGGAAAGCTGCATGTTTTAACAAGAACATTTGTAATCTAAGGCTACAATCCTGCACTGAGCTCTGTGTAGGTGCAGAGGTCCAACCATAAAGAACTCAGAGCAGGTTTGAGGCCTAAGCATCTGATTCAACTCCGCTAAATGAGAATCTTTCAAACAATTTTAAAGGGCACTGGATTGAACCTTTACACAATAAGTACTTTTATGCACATAACCTTAAAGTAGAGGTATTTGACAATTTCCAGGTTTCTTGCTCTGTAATGAAAGTAATAGTTAAAGGACTTTTTGTTCTATAAGATTTTTAATCCCTTATTCATACTGGTGGGCACTTCTTAACACAAGTAGTCTCATTAAAGTCAAGAAGTTATTGTGTGAGAAACTACAAACGCATGTGAGTAAGGAATTTAGAGTCTGCCTCTTATTGTAGTGAGGTATTACTACAATTTATCATTAAACTGCTTTTTATGTGAAATTATAAAAATATACACAGAGGGCTAATGGATGCAGTTTATGCTGTATATATATAAATGTATTATGTGCACGTGCACACACACACAATACTAGAAATAAATGAAACTTAAAGAATGCAATAAATCTTTAAAATGAATAAAATTAGCAATGTCTTTTATTTGTATGTTTTGGAGTATCAATTGAATCATCATAATGATTTCTGTTGAAAGGAGAAACGGCATCAATAGTCACAGTTAAAAGCAACACAGAACAGCTTTGATTACCTTAGCTGACCTGCTGGAGCACTGACAGGTCTGTTTCTTTTGGATGGTGATATAAGGCAGAAATTGTTTGTACTGTTTGATTTGTAGCTGCCTAGGTCTGATATTCTATCACTGTTCTGAACTGATTTTGTTTGATGTGTGGAACGATCTTGAAGTCCTGACCTTCTTGATACCACTGTCGATTGCAGATGAATATTAGGGCCAAACAGAGGCTGTCTAGAGATTTGCTTTCTGTCAGTATTTTTAATTGCCGTTTTTGCATAGGGGGAAATAAATTTTCTGAAAGAAAAATATGGAGAAAAACATAAAATTATATCCTCTTATGCTGGCCTTTTGCTTAGTTTAAGTAATTATTGAATCTGTGAGGTCTTGGGAAAACCTGATAAGTGACAAGCATGGTTGAACTTATTTAATGTCAATGTACACTTGAAAAGTGGAAGAAAAAGAAACCAAATCATTAAGGCACCAAGAAATTTTCATAATAATTAGTAGATTTTGAAAACAGTCCAAGACAAAATCTCCAGGAGGAAAATAAGATTTTTAATGTGCTTTAAAACTATTTTTAAGATAACAAAAGTCTTTTGTTTTATTCAACTTAAATATTATAAAACAAAATAACACACCATTGAAAAAGTAAACTGAGATTCCATGAAATGTAGCCTGAGATTTTCAAAGGGAGTTAGAAATTCAGCAGGAATTAAGCACCTCAATCCCTATAGCTCTTTTGTAAATCCCAGCCGTAGTTTCAATAAAAATTAGGTTTTACAAAATCTAATGATAGAAATATTCCCTGAAATTATAAAAAAAACCCTAATAGACACATCAATCTTTTGTAAAATGAATACACTTTTCTCTACAACTTGTGTGATTCAAATATTGCAGAATTGTGTCAGTTAATGAGTACCTCAATGTGAAATTGACTAGAAACAAAAGCAAAAAGTGCAAATTTACTTTCATTGTTTACTTTTTGCATTTCCCTAAGTATAGGCAAACAATATAACAAGTAAAATGTAAATAATTTTTTTAATGTTGCTTTAACAATCTAAGATGTTACTAATAACAAAAGTAAAGACATTTCCAAATGATTATAACCTGTTCGTGTCCCCTTAAAATAGTTTTGTGTGTGTTTTGATTTTCATTTTGTTTTTGTACTAAGAATCTGTCCTTTCTTCCACTACTAAACTCTAACCCTGAGACCCAGGTTCAAATTCTTGTTCAAGTCATTAGTGAAAATGTGTTTGAATAGTTTTATATTAGTCCTCACTTGTGCATGTCATAAAACCATTGTCGAATTTAGCTCAATTAAGCTCTGCTTAAGAGAGTTCCAGAATTAGAATAGCAGGACCTGCTGAAGGTAAAGATTGGGGAAAACTAAAAGAGTTATATCTGGGGCAGGTAGCAGAACCCACCTGATTTATGGCTGAGTCAGACCAGTGCTAGTCTTGCTTCACTTAAAATATGCAATAAATTCACTTATAACATTAAAAAATTAACAATCATAAGGCAATTTAAAAAAAAAAAAAAAAGAACAAAAATAGAGAATAAATAACAGACAGCTCTAAATTTGGGACTAATATTATATTGATGTCATAGAAATAAATGATGTAATGCACCACAAGATTGGCATTTTATAGATCACAATTTATTTTTCATTCACTCTTTACTTATGACTGGAGGGTGTCTTAGTAGTATCAACAGCCAAGCAGAAGCAACAGAAGAGTCTAACATGGTCAGCTCCTCACACTAGCTTGCAGATTCTCATAATTCATGAGTGTCACATTGTTCCGATAAACTACAAGAGCTCGGTGATGTCACACCCACAAATTATAAGATATTTTTTGCATGTCTTGAAGTATATTTAACACAGCAATTCAAATATTGTATATCAAAATCCTGTGATTAAATGAATGTTAAGAGTCTGAGTTGAATCAAGAAAAAAATCTATGTAGCACTATGGCTACAAACATACTGAGGTGTGTTTTGAAGTCTGATTAGTGAGACAAAAAAGACATTAATATCTTGTAAATGTTCATTTTCCTGCAAGGCTGTCTTATGGGCCATTTGAAAAGTGAAGAATATCTTGTTTTCCTTTTTACAATAAAAATCTACTAGATCCCATTACTTATTACTGAAAAAAAAAATCCTTGGTACTAGTCCTTACTGAAGAGTGAATTATTTTGTTAGAATATTAACTGCCTTGGCTTTACCTCTGAAAAATAAGCTATCAAGGGAGTCATTTATTTTAGTAAAGAATTGTTACTTAATATTTACCACTAATGAATTCTTAGAAATATTTTTCAACCACATATGCCACATTATAAATGAGCTGTTGGTGAATAAGACCGCTATTAAAGGAAAATAGGTGTGAGACTAACTTTAGGTAACCTTTGTACACACTAGCCTCTTCTTAAAATTTTCCATCATTGTTCAGTTTCAGCAGGGTAAGAGCACTAGTATACACAGGTGCGTCAACAGCACCCATATTTTAACTGGGGTGCAATCTATAGATGGTTAACGTGCCAACAGTTAGTCTACTCTAATACCACATTTGCTACCAACAGCAGACTTATACTTGAGGTAGTGCAATGTTGGGACATGTTAAGAAAATGCTAGTTTGGACACAACCCTAGCGCACAGTTCAGTGGAGACCTAATATATCATAGGGTGAAGAGCTCAGCCTGTAGTGAAAAACTACACTATGTTTTTAGAGACTTTGTCATGTGATTTGTGAAATGACATTAAGTGCCATGGTAAAATGTATGATTCTTCACTCTTTATTAAGGAAAAAATCCTGTTCAGATCATTGTTAAATCGAGCCAAAAGGTTGTAATCCCATGTTTGTTGCACAAGGAAACATGTTTGTGTAGGGCTCCTATAGTTGGGTTCATTGTCTGGTTATGCCAAAAGAAGGACAGGAGTTTAATCAGGCCACAACTTTATTCTTAGATGTCTGGGACTACCCAGCAGATAAGTGTACAGTGCAGGTAACCCCCATGTTTATTCCATAGTTACCTGGGGGGGCTTTTACCAGTTCCCCCTCTTTTTCCATACCTGGGGAGAGGGGCTGCCACCAGCTTCCCCTCTTTTTGCCTCCCGGTCCCTTCAGTAAATCTATTGCCAGGGTCTTACCCTCCACCCCCGCCTCGTAGGAGGGTTAAGGTGGGCTATAAGAATGGGGGGTTGGCTCCCTGCCATACCAATCATAGAAGTTCCCAACCGCCCCCCATTCGCTCCTTTAACGAACACCTCTTTTTAAGTCCTTTTCCAAGCCATTTATCTGATCACTGTATACCTTCCCTATGGAGTACCTGCACTGGACATCCACCACAAGGAGGCGCTAGCAATTAGCTTGGCTGCCTCCTCCCCACATCCAGTCGGGTTCCCAGACATCTTCTAATGCCATCTTTTATATCAGTTAAAAAAATGATGGCACCTAAGACGGACAGGTGAACCCCATCTTCCCAAAACAACTCTGCTGCCCCATATACTATGCCAGGATGTGAAATTACTGTCCTTCCTATGGTCCCAAGGAATTTGGCCACCTCCCTATTCACATCCTCCTGGCTTTGTCCACCCTGCGGGGGGGATCACGGCTCCCCACCAGACCCTGCGCTGAAGCATGTCTGACCACATAATGTTAACTCTTGGAAAAACTACACTATTTTTTTAGAGACTTTGTCATGTGATTTGTGAAATGACATTAAGTGCCATGGTAAAATGTACAATTCTTCACTCCTTATTAAGGCAAAATTCCTGTTCAGATCAATGTTAAATCAAGCCAAAAGGTTGTAATCCCATGTTTGTGGCACAAGGAAACATGCTTGTGTAGGGCTCCTACTGTTGGGTTTAATATTGAGAAAAAAGGTGGCCAAGAATTAAAGCAATAGGCCAGACTCAAGATGCTTAAATGAAAGAAACAAAAGAATCCCAAACCCTATGTGTACTAAGGCCTAAAATCTTTATTGCATATTTACTAGCAGTTCTAGAATTGCTTCTTTGTGTGATTATATTGAGGAAGTTTTGAGAGAGATGTTTGTAGTTATTATAAAAGCAAATTATTCTAAGCTCTAATTCATACACTTTAAATTAATTTAGATACAACATAGAAGTTTTATTTTACTATAAATTTTTCAAAGACATTCTCAAACTATCCATGAAAATTTAACCAGGATACATGTCAACATATTTTTTATTATTTAAGCACAAAACAATAGTATTTTTTAAATAAAAGAAAGCATTCTACACAGTTTTGAGTTTTCTAAGACATGAGGCTAACAATCCTATTCATAAGTGAAAAATGTGGCTACTTTGACAGACCCTGGTTCAATAACAAGTATGCAGGTCGAAGTTATCACACAGTTTTGGATGTGAATTCAACAGCAGGATAATGACAGTTGCCAAGGATTTGTACTTGCTGTCGCTTAGTACCAGTGTTGCCTGTCAAATTGTCTCCTTTTTCTTATACAGAAGCCACAGAATTTTTATGGATAGCAATTACTTACAATATACAATGAAGTACATCAAATGTAACAACCACTCTTTAGCCTTTCATTATTTGGTCGTCTCTTTGTTATATCTAGTCATCCATTTTCACCTAAATTATTTATTTATACTGTATATTTGACAAGCATATATTTTTTGCTTTATATTTTTGGAGCACTTAAAACCTTGCTCAAGAGATATAGCGGTTTATTTTAATATTAATTAATTGTATTTTAAGCTAAACTTTATCTTATTACTATTTTAATAGTAGTTAAACTTCTTGTTGGACTCACTGCAACTAGTACAATCTAGATGCCAAGCTAGTTTATATACCTCTAAATATTTATCCGCATAAAACATTTAAATAATGAAAGTATTGAGACTTAGTTATAACGGAAGTTCACGTTGCTACCCTATCTTCCTCCAGGCATCATATACATGTTTATATAGACTTGCACTGATATTATTTTGTTTTGCCACCTAATTGTCTACTGCAAATAACTGCATTAATATAACTTTGTATTGACAGACCATGCCATCCTAGTAGATTTATATCTTTATCATTTTGAGTTGATACTGTAATGTACTCTCCATTGATTGTACTCTCATTGTTTCATTCTATTTTGGTCTGATATCTTTTCTGCAAGAGGCTTGCACTGACATCATAATACTGTTGTGATAACACTATGTCCAATTTCAATTAACAAGAAAGTTACGACCCAAATTATACACATATGGTAAAATCCTGGCCCTATTTAAGTCAGTGGGGGTTTTGCCATTGACTTCACTGGAGCCACAGTTTCATCCCCATTTGGTAGTTATTTTTTAAAATTCAATATCTTGCACATGTATATTTGTCTCAGGCATCACAAGAAGACAAGACAAGACACCAGGAACATGATTTAATGATGCTCCAATTTTATTAATTTATCACATCTGGGAAATTATCTGGCAATAACTCATCCAATGCAGATCAACTTTCCTTCTAGAATCTGTACCACTTGGAGAAGGACTGCCTCAAGCCCTCACTCCTCCAAACCTTTAACCTGCTCCCAGCACCATTGCTGGGACTGCACCATCCTCCCCTCATACAAGAGTTGAGAGCATAGAGGAAAAGTGGTGGCCTCTCACTATACCAGATATTAGGAGCCACAACTCATGCCCCAGATTCTTTACACAATGCCCTTCCAGCTCCTGTTTATCAGGGAACCAGGATTCCTTTAAATAAGCATCTGAGCTGGACGCCTGCCAAGGTACAAAAAGATGAACATTTTACCATCTCACCTACCACCTGGGAATAAAATCATGGCTCTGTTGAAATCAATGGGAGTTTTATCATTGACTCCAGAGAAGTCAAGACGTATCCCAGGTCTGTGGATTCCTGAGGGGAAGATGAAAAAAATTCACATCACCCAGACGAACCTAGGAATGAAGGAAAAATTCCTTCCCAGCATACCTTCCGGGGGCCCAAAAGGTGATTCCCATGATGCTCAGAGCAGGACCCAGAAACCGAGTTCTATTGTAATCCCAAGAGTGTGGGGATGATGGGAGCCATTGCTCCCAGGTGCAGACTGGTATGTTAGGGGAAAGGGCTTATAAATAGTTCCCAAGGCTGCACAGGAGCCTGGGCTACCACTGCACCATTCAGTTTGACCAATAAACTAGGACTCCCTCCTGATCACCATTAACCCTTCCCTAAACCCACAAGGAAGCAGAGGTCCCCACACAGTGGGGGAGGGGGAATCCTTAAAGGGGCCCCAGGATTTTTTTTCCCCTCACAGTCCAAACAAAAGACTCCCCATATCTGAGACAGAGGAAGGAATGCAATAAGAACCATCTCTAACAAAATAGGATCAGCACAACTGTTACTAAATCAGCCAGGTAGAGGAGGCTTTCCTTTTAGATTATCTGCAAGAGCTGTTGCATGTAGGCCACCTGGTCCAAGTTTGAGTTTTCAGTGTTGGTTATGAATATATATTAAGCCATATTTTAGCTACACTAGAGACGTGGTGATAAGAAAGAAAAAGGTACTATTGGCATGGGGTACATTGTGAGGAATGGGCTCCACAGTGGAGAGCATCTTATAGAAACAAGTAGGAGAGAATAAGGGGGAGGGGTTTAAAATAAGCAAGTAGAGGGGAAGTTTATTTTGCTTACAATATAATATAAACACAAACTTTATTTAAAAATTAAACTACGGTTATTGAAAGAGAGATGCCAAACATAACCCCTCAATCCAAAGGCAATCAATGCCTTTATGTTACAACCATTTCCTCAATACTTTGTTTTTTATCTAGTTAGATTATAAACTCTTTGGGAATAAAACAACAGGAAACAATGTAGGAACCACTAACTGGGCTAAGTTACTTAAGAGTATCGTATCACCAGTTACCCTCCTGAAGCACTGAGACAATATCATGATAAATGGATAAACTAGGGCTGTCCAAGCAATTAAAAAAATGAATTGCGATTAATTGCGTGATTAAAAAAATTAATTGCAATTAATCGCACTGTTAAACAATAATAGAATATCATTTATATAAACATTTTTGGATGTTTCAAATTTGGATTTTCAAATATATTGATTTCAATTACAACACAGAATACAAAGTGTACAGTGCTCACTTTATATTTATTTTTGATTACAAATATCTGAACTGTAAAAAACAAAAGAAATAGTATTTTTCAATTCACCTAATACAAGTACTGTAATGCAATCTCTTTATCACGGAAGTTGAACTTACAAATGTAGAATTATGTACAAAAAAGACTGGAGCACATGACTTATGAGGAGAGACTGAGGGAACTGGGATTGTTTAGTCTCCAGAAGAGAAGAATGAGGGGGGATTTGATAGCTGCTTTCAACTACCTGAGGGGGGGTTCCAAAGAGGATGGAGCTCGGCTGTTCTCAGTGGTGGCAGATGACAGAACAAGGAGCAATGGTCTCAAGTTGCAGTGGGGGAGGTCTAGGTTGGATATTAGGAAACACTATTTCACTAGGAGGGTGGTGAAGCACTGGAATGCTTTACCTAGGGAGGTGGTGGAATCTCCTTCCTTGGAGATTTTTAAGGCCCGGCTTGACAAAGCCCTGGCTGGGATGATTTAGTTGGGAATTGGTCCTGCTTTGAGCAGGGGGTTGGACTAGATGACCTCCTGAGATCCCTTCCAACCCTGATATTCTATGATTCTATGATTTAAAAAAATATAAAATTTTAGAGCCTGCAAGTCCACTCAGTACTACTTCTTGTTCAGCCAATCGCTCAGACAAACAAGTTTGTTTACATTTGCCGGAGATAATGCTGCCCGCTTCTTGTTTCTCATGGCACTGTTGTAGCTGGCGTCACAAGATATTTACGAGACAGATGCGCTCAAGATTCATATGTCCCTTCACGCTTCAACCACCATTCCAAGGGACATGCGTCCATGCTGATGACGGGTTCTGCTCGAGAACAATCCAAAGCACTCTGTTCATTTTCATCATCTGAGTCAGATGCCACCAGCAGAAGGTTGATTTTCTTTTTTGGTGGTTCGGGTTCTGAAGTTTCCACATTGGAGTGTTGCTCTTTTAAGACTTCTGAAAGCATGCTCCACACCTCATCCCTCTCAGATTTTGGAAGGCACTTCAGATTCTTAAACCTTGTGTTGAGTGCTGTAGCTATCTTTAGAAATCTCACATTGGTACCTTCTTTGCGTTTTATCAAATCTGCAGTGTTCTTAAAGTGTTCTTAAAATAAACAACATGTGGTGGGTCATCATCTGAGACTACTATAACATGAAATATATGGCAGAATGCAGGTAAAACAGAGCAGGGGACATATTCTCCCCCAAGGAGTTCAATCACAAATTTAATCAATGCAAAGTTTTTTAAACGACGTCATCAGCATGGAAGCATGTCCTCTGGAATGGTGGTCAAAGCATGAAGGGACATACAAATGTTTAGCATATCTGGCATGTAAATACCTTGCAATGCCAGCTACAAAAGTGCCATGCAATTGCCTGTTCTCACTTTCTGGCGACACTGTAAAGAAGAAGAGGACAGCATTATCTCCTGTAAATATAAACAAACTTGTTGTCTTAGCGATACAAGAAGTAGGACTGAGTAGACTTGTAGGCTCTGAAGTTTTACATTGTTTTGTTTTTGAGTGCAGTTTTGTAACAAAAAAAATCTAAACCTGATGCAGGTATGCTTTCTGCATGATGGGGGAGGCAGAACCAAGGATACAGTGGCCCCATCCCCCCGCAGCTACCCACAGGATGGGTTGCCCACATAGGGAAGTAAGGGTGGTGCCTTGTGCCATCTTATGCCCTTGCATGGCTTGTATGACACATAAGGATTTGCCCCTTAGATATACATGTGCAACATTTTGTATCTTTTAATCATGTTTGTATATTTACATTATTTTTATTGCTATAATGACTTAAATTGACTACTAGGGCCCAGTTTGGCATTCCTGTTCCCCGCATGGCTGGGGAATTCCAGGGGAAGGACTAATATCTAACCAAGTGAAAAAATCTGGAAATCTGAAGAAGAGGAGGCCTTTGTTTTTAAGGCTTCAAAGCCACAAAGATCACTAATTTTGAGATGATTAAAAATTTAGATAAACTCAAATTTAGATAGCTCAGAGTGATCTATAGCTAAAACATTTCTCCGTATCTGCAGTGTTCTGAGGCACTTTTCAGATTGATTAAAGGAAACTAACAGTAAATGTTACTATGCAACCATGAAATTATCTTTAAAAATTACCTCTATTTTCAGCTTTAAACTGTTGCTAATAAAGTTATTTTTCTCAATTATATTCTTTGCAGCATATCACCAAATAGCAAATTAAAAATCTTACCTTGGCAAATTATGTAAGTGGGAAGAAGATGTGATGAGTTTATTCACATACTGCTTCACTACTGTAGTTTGTACACTGTTACGACATGAAGACGTTGATGAAGTTAAGAATTCATTATTTCTTTGTGATGCCCCAAAAGTTGGATTGGAAGGTACATGAGCACTTACTGGTCTTTTGTCATTTGCCATTTCCTGTTTAGAAATGTCAAAGGCAGTAATTAAAATTAATGCAGAGGTTTTTTCTATTAATAGTTACGACTGAAACTCTTTGATTAATTAGCATGAACCCAATCCAGTAGTGCTTTTTCACATGAGTAGTCTAACTGAAGCCAGTACGAAGCATAGTGGGTTACTGAACATAGTAATGTTCAGTTTGGATTGTCGTAGAAATTCCTGTCCGTTCCAGCTGAGGAATAAAGAGAGACGGACACAGCTAATCAAGCAAGGAGCCCCGGGAGGGGCGATCCGTTTATTTCAATTGCAATTGGGTTCGAGCTCATAAGTCGGCAAGAACCCCGAAAACACGTACACCAAAGTATTATCTGCAGTTGACTATGATAATCTATTGCTCTATGATTGGCCAAAATTTGCTATCATTACCATACATAATTAGCAAGCTACATGTATCTGCCCCTCTTGTGACCCCTTATTGTTCATCTACTTGCCCCCTCCCCCTTGCGTTATTTTGCAAATCAAGCAGTTATCTACTGGACGCAGGCACAGAAAGTTCCACTGTCTGCAGGTTTGGAGTTTGGTTACATTTCCTCTCGAAGGAACTTCCTGAGTTAAAACTATCCATAGCTCACGCTGCATATCTCCCTTCTTCTTTCTCCCATGTGTACGTGACAAATTTGCCCCCTGGCAGTTAAGTAGAATAATTTTATTTCAGGATGAAGGCAGATTGTATTTTTTATGTATTTACATTCTTAGGGAACAGAATTTGGAGATGGTGAGGAGCAATACCAATTTGGAGGCTTAAAGAGAGAGACAGAGGGAGGGATAAAAAAGTCTTCTCTATGGAGCTAGATTGGCAGAATTATCCAGAAATTCTAAAGGCTTGTATATGAGGTTTTGTAACTTACTAACAGTTTATTGCTGAAATTCATTTGGAAGGAATATTATTTCATTTATTATGAAATGTTATTGTGGAAGCTATATGCAAGACTTTCCAAAGTATAAGATTAAAGTGTTAAAATATTCTTGCTTTTAATTATATATATAAAGCTAACAGAAGGGGAACCAATTAGAGTATGGTATGAATTGCTCATGCTCAACCATGCAAAATATCGGAGTCAAAAGTTTATGTCTTGATCCCAAGAAGTGCTGAGCGCCCACAACTCCTGTTAAATCAATGGGAGCATTAGATGCTTGGCAACTCTTAGAATCAGGCATTTACAGATTAAGGCCCTAGTCCCACAAATAATTACTCTCATGCTTAATTGAAAACATGTATGTAGCCCCCCTGGCACCAGTGAGACTACTCACATATATAAGTCTTTGCAGGTTTGGAACTTTTTGTATATGTTTCAAATAAATATTAAATTATTTATTTCCAGAATGCAGAAACTGTGGAGCAGATCCTCATCTGCTGTATGTAGATTTCTTCCAATTTTAGTCTTCGGAAGAGTGTGGGAGATGTCAATATTTTTTTAAAAAATAAATATTGTGTGTCTCTGTCTATATGAGCAGTATCATGCTGTCTCTTACACAGAAGAAAAGAGTTAACTCAATCCTGGATGGTTTTATAGATCTCCAGGAAGGGAGACAATGACTCTAACTCAATTGCCAGTGTTTAATGGACAAATCCACTGCTGGAAGTCTACCTCTGGCCTCCTTAGTCAGATGCTTAAACTGGATTGACTAGGATCAGGAGTCCCACAACAGACAAAGTAACATTGAGATGGATAAAAAAGCTGATTTCAGAATGGGGAGACACTGACTGAGGGTCAGACTGAGGCAGAGACTGCAGGGATGAAGTCTGCCTCACCCAGCTCCAATGTTGGAAGTACCTGGGACAAGTGGGACCTATTTAAGCTTACAAGGAAAGACTAAGGTTTAGGTAAGATAATATGTGTGTAGACCTTTTGTTGTTTTAACCCTTTTCCTCTCTGTTTGGTACATGCCTAAGGATAAGTAAATAATACTTTGTTTCAAAGAGGCTGTTTTGAGTCACTGTATTTTCATACTGATCATAGGCTACCAAAGAGAAGTCTATAACAGGAGTCAAAACCCAACTAGATCTGCTGGGAAACACTTGGTAAATAGGGGTGCTAAGACCTGGAGACTCAGTCAAGAGTGGAATGAATTGCGGGATTCGCCTCTGACAGAAGTTCAGACATAGCCCTGTCACTTGGAAAGGGTGCCCACCCAGAGACTGAGAGAGGGTACAGCTCATCCTGAACTGTGATAAACTTATTGTATGCAAAAAATTTATATTCTTGTAGCCTCTTCTATTAAAATGGAGAACTGAAGGTAAGGTGCAACACCTGTAGTTCAGAATTCAAAATGATCTGCTTCTCATGTTCTCATAATGGTTTTGGTCACTTACCAAAAAATAATAAATAACAATAATAATAATAATAATACCAGTACCTAACAGGAAAGCTAAAGCAAACTTTATTAATTAATCCAAGTACTTCTAAAATCCCTTTTACAAATGAGACTACTGACATGTTTTAAAGCAAGCCAGATTTAGCACTATAGTTGTATAAAAACTAACCACCCAGCAGATAGCAATAATTTCAGCATTTGCAAATGTTTTCTTTGTTTGCAGTGTGAACCCCTAAAAACACAGGCTAAATAAAGAAAAATCACCACCTGGGAAGGATTTTTGAAATCAGGCCCTGTAAGCTATAGTTTATAATCACTCAGGGCCATATTCTGCAACCCGATATCATGCTGAGTAGTATCTTACTCCTTAAGTAGTCCCATTGGAATTAATGGGAGTATCTATATAGAAAGGCACGACTCAAAATGCCAATGGTGGCAGAATCTGGTCCTTAGAAAATGGAACATGAAGTCTTTATTCTTTGCTTCTTTATTCTTAGAAATATCCTTGAACCGACTGTGATACAAGTTGTTACTCTTTTCCTCACTAATAGGTCAATGTGGCAGGTGAGGCTGCTTTAGGGAGTTAGTCAGGGAGCAGGCCAGCCGCTGGTTCTAGCAGCTGTTGAGCCCTGGGTCCCAACGTGGGGCTCCAGCGTATACAGTGCATTATGTTGGCCTGAGTCCAACCACCCATAACCCAGACTTCCTAGCAGCCCCCCAAAGTGTGGCCACGCTAGCCCTTTGTTTGTGATGCAGGAAAATCTGACTGCTCACCAAAATTCACTGTCCAGAGGACAAAGAAAGTCAGCCAGTGGGATTGTGGAATACTTTTGGCAGACTCCCAGAGCATGAGTCCAGTAGGGCTGCGTCTACACTGTAAAGCAATAGGGCTTGAACCCTGGGTCCTGGCTTGACTCAGGCTTGGACCTTCCACCCCCGTGGGGTCCTGGGACCATGGGTCCAAGCCCTGCGTTAGTACAATTTTTGTGAAGATGGAAGGGGGTTAGGCTTAAGCTTCAATTCGAACCTGGGCTTACAACAGAGTGTAGACATACCCTGGAGATGAATCTTGTTGGTAGCCCGGCCTGCGCACAGTGGTGTCCTGGTGCCAATATCTCCAGCACAGAGCAGAGAAAACCTGACAGACACCATCACAGTCATGTTTTATTTCCTGCTATCTCCTGTATAAAAACTGAATTTCAATCAGTTCTTGTTTTTGTCACCTCTTTATTGAAAAACTTCTACAATCCTAGTTCTACGGTCCAGTACTATTGTGGGACTTGCACAGCTTGAGGCCCTGATATACTGACATCTAAAAAGTGGTGAAAGATTTCATAGTTCAACCTATTGCTCTCACAACTCCTACTTTAAAAACAAACTTCTCCAGTATTAATGCGGAATATCTGACATTTTGCTACGCAGATCTACTGCATGTGTAGTGTATTTAATAAAAGTTAGTTATACCATAAAATGCTTATAATTTGTATGATATGGATTTCTCTATAGTAATAGTTATAACAGTGCATTACACTTCACCATGCGACACCTTGATTACTGCAACCTCCTACCTACATTCTGGCCTTGACTAGTGTGTAGAGTCCTTCACAGATACAAAATTTGTATCTGCATCCTATCCACAATCTGCAAAAATTGTCTGTGGATATTGCAGGGCTGTGCCAAGCCTCTGACCCCCAGCCACCCCCCACTTCTCCTTAGAGACCTCCTGCCCTGCCACCCGTTCCACACCTGTCATACTGCCTTCCCTGCTCTGGGCAGGGAGGCTACAATCCTGGGCCCTCGTATGCAGTGCCACCCTCCCAGTGGAGGGCTCAGACACCCTTACGCAGCCGCAGCGACTCTAAAACATGCAGACCCAACTGGGACAGACAGCAGCGACAACTATTCTCCTCACAGCGCCCACTGTTGCCACCTGCTAGTTTAAAGTACAACACCTCTTTCAAAATGGTGCTTGGCTCACTACACAGGAGCACAGTGTATATCTACCCTTATGGGTATGTCTACTCTTCTGGGAGTTGTAGTTTACCTCCTCCATCCGAGTAAGCTGGGGACTGCAACTTCCAGTATGTCCAGTGGGCTATTGCCACATATCACAGCCAACTGCTGCGTGATTCAGAGAGCTGGGCTGGAGCCTGAGGACTGGGTGACAGCCACTCCATTTGTGTGTGCTGCAGACTCCTGCACAGATACAAAATTTGTAACCACATCTGATCCATAATCCGCAAAAATGGTGGATATCCATGGATTTGCAGGGCTCGACTAGTGTGACCTTTACCCCCTCAAGTTCATTTAAAAGGCAGCTGCTAAGATAGTTTTCTTTACCCATCATTTTGATAACATCTTTTCCCCCTTTGAATCAATCCATTAGCTTCCCTTCTCTGCTACCTCAAATTCTTGTCCTTATCTTCAGGGCCTTTCATAGTTTAGCCCTGCCCTACTTACTGACTCTATTATCTCACTGTGTTGTCATCTGCTCCCTGGATTTCCTCATCAATGCCAGCACTGATGATCCTTTTCACCTACTGAACCTTCATGCTTTCGTCCATGCTGTCCTGTATGAATCAGGGCTGCCCGGCGGGGGGGGGGGGGGGGGGGGGGGGGAGTTTGCCCCGGCCCCCCAG